TTGGTTGCTGCCGTGGATGTCAGCGGCTATTGTGCGTGTTATTGGTCGTCAGTGGGTGGTGTTGATTGGGCGACGCTGAGGCAATTGGGCGTGCCATTGGCAGCTTCTGCCGGCGAGGGGACAGGCAAGAGGTGGAGTTTTTTTGGCATTCCCCCCTAGAGAAAGCTCAATAACCCTGGGTAATCCCCCCCCCCAAAAAAAACAACTTTTTGCCATCTCCCCCCATTTTCTAAAATTTGAGTCCCAAAAAAACCTCTTATACATGGGGACAACTTAAACACGGAAAAGTATGTTGGAAGACACAAGATTTACCCACCCGGGAAGAGTGGCAGATGAAGTTGATGGACTATATGGAACTGGCGGAAATGACTGGCAGAATCCGAGACCAGGGAGAAGAGTTGGTGGAAGAAGACTGGAAAAAGTTTAAAGACTATTTACAGAAATACTGTAAAATTAATGAATGTTAGAAAAATGTTGGAATGAAGTTATATGGCTTTAGTAGAAATGTTATAAGGAATAAAGTATAAATAGATTAATAGAGTATTAAAGGAAAAAATAAGGTTAAAATGTGTTAAGATAATTATAGGATAGAAAACAGAGGAAGATGGAAAGGAATTGCTGAAACAATTAACAGAAGTGGAATACAAAAAGGGAGGTGTGAGGAGGTCGTTGAAATAAGTGAATGAAAGATAATATATTGAAATTGTTTGATGTGTTTTAAACTGTTTTTGTTTTGTTTTGTTCTGTTTTGTTAGTTTAATGTGTTAGTGTTATGTAGTGCTTTTGTATTGTTTTGTATTGTATTGTATTGTATGGTTCCTTTTTTTGTAGTGTTTAAATTGTTGAAAAAGTAATAAATATTTTTTTAAAAAAATAAACACGGAAAAGTATGGTACCTTATGTTCTTATACAGTGCTTTTTTCTAAAAAAAATGTTTAGTGGTACTCTGATTTTGACTCAAGAAAATCACCATTTTATAGTTCAAATGTTGAAAAATAACTACAGTAAATGGACAAAAGTACAAAGAACATGCCCAACACCGTTGTCCCATCTTTTGTTTTTACAGAGTCATCATTAACTTTACACTTCTTTGCTGGCTGTGATGATGAAAAATAGTAATTTTCCTACTCATACTGAAATGCTGCCCCTCAATGAGGCCAAACTTTCATCAGTAAAACACCACACATCCACATTCCATACTGCTTCACACATTAAACGCTCGCTTCTGTCTGAGACTCAGGAAACACCATAACAGGAAATGAGGCTGCCATCAGGGGTAGCAATGGAACTGACGATTCACCATGCTAGAGAAGAAACTTAAAAATTTAAAAATTAGTTTCTTCTCCCATTAGATTCACAAAATGTTTAGGGGTATGCATACCCCTGTGTACCCCCAGGGGAAAAAACACTGCTCTTATATATTCTTTGAACAGGTCTTATAACAGACGGGCTATAGATTTGCACCATACTTCGACTAGCTTAGCAGTGCTGGATGAGATGAACCTTGGTGCCATATTCTTGACTCAAAAACAATTGCAGTTGGGCGGAAAAATCGCCATTTTCATTGACCCATTGATTTGCGGTTCCTCAAAACTCCTCTTCATGCGCCTTGTCAGAACACCTCGGGGGAATTTAGTCCTCGAGTTTTGCTTCAGGTGAAATTCAGAAGCAACTCTAAGCTAAATATTTCCTTATCGAATTCACTTGGCACGTAATCTCTGCCTGCTTTCTGCACGGCGCTTTGGACTCCACTCAAGTAGCTCTTCCCCAATCCCCTTGCTAAAATAAGCAGGAAGCCTGAGGGAAAACTGAGCGGCAGAAGTCGTCTGGGTTGTGTTGCCAGAAGACATTGTCTCTCCCTACCCTCAGAAAGCCAGATTGGCTTTGCCACATGAAGTCCTGGCAGCAGCGCAGGAGCTAGATGGCAACCTGACAAAGGAGAGGCCGTGAGGGTAGACTGTGGAGACAGAATGGTGGTTGGGCGTGGTAGCTCCAGTCAAGGTTTGCCAGTTTCCTGAGGCTCTGGCTCAAGGCAGAGGAAGCCGAGCCTGGAAGTTAAGGGATGGCCCCTGGGGCAGTAGGATGGGGTGGAGGAACCTAGTGTAGACTGGGGAGGCCTGGCCAGATGGGTGGGGTATAAGTAATAAATTATTATTATCATAGACTAGAGAGGGCAGAGGATGGGCCCTTGGAAGTTCAGAGGGGAAAGCCGGACCATATCTGGTGCCTTAGTGGTCGGTGGCCTGATGGATATGGGGGTGGAGCAAGTACTTACAGGAGTCAGGGACTGGGCTTAGGAGGAATGGTGGGGGGTGCCCCCCTCCTCCTGAACCTTCCCAGGAAGAGGAGGACAGACATGAACACATGTCTGTCAATCTTTGAAAGTCCATATTACCACTGCTCCTTGTGCATTTTTCTAATCTACGGGTTGTGCTGAAGAAGATTCCAGCAAAACAGTCAGATTATCTGGGATCACTGTCCTACGTTGTTATTCACTTACTACTTTGGCACCATGAATGCCTAAAAAGTTTTTCCACTTAGCCCAAAGGATAGCATCTATTGTTGTTGTTGTTTAGTCATTTAGTCGTGTCCGACTCTTCGTGACCCCATGGACCAGAGCACGCCAGGCACTCCTGTCTTCCACTGCCTCCCGCAGTTTGGTCAGACTCATGTTTGTAGCTTCGAGAACACTGTCCAACCATCTCGTCCTCTGTCGTCCCTTTCTCCTTGTGCCCTCCATCTTTCCCAACATCAGGGTCTTTTCCAGGGAGTCTTTTCTTCTCCTGAGGTGGCCAAAGTATTGGAGTCTCAGCTTCAGGATCTGTCCTTCCAGGGAGCACTCAGGGCTGATTTCCTTAAGAATGGATAGGTTTGATCTTCTTGCAGTCCATGGGACTCTCAAGAGTCTCCTCCAGCACCATAATAGCATCTATTACTTTGTTTCAACTATAGACTTATTATACTTCTATGGACTTTCAAAGATTGACAGAGTGTGTTCATTTGATTTCAAATATATTAGAGAATTTACACATGTACACATTTTGTTTTTAGTGCTATCTAGTATACTGGTCATCGTGTTACTTAAGAAATAAAATCAAGCCATAGTAAAAACACATTAAACCTTAACTTGAGAGTGAATGCAGTGTGGCAGCTACAGCCCTGGCCTTAGATCAAACATATCTGGGTTTGAATTCTTCCTCAGCTCTAAAGCTATTATTATTATTATTATTATTATTATTATTATTATTTATACCCTGCCCTCCCCAGCCAAGGCCGGGCTCAGGGCAGCTAACAAGCAATAATAAAAACAAGTTGAATGAATACAACTTAAAAACAAGATTAAAATACAACATTAAAATATTGAAACATTAAAATATTAAAATGCAGCCTCATCACAGGAGGAGAAAGGAAAAAGAAAGAGAGGGAGGGAATCAAATTGGCTCCAAGCCAAAGGCCAGGCGGAACAACTCTGTCTTACAGGCCCTGCGGAAAGAAATCAGGTCCTGCAGGGCCCTGGTCTCATGAGGCAGAGCGTTCCACCAGGCCGGAGCCAGTGTTGAAAAGGCCCTGACTCTGGTTGAATAATAAAACCTTTTAGCATTAAAAAAAATTCCCTATATGGGGCTGCCTTCAGATGTCTTCAGAATGTTGTTATCTCCTTAGCTTGGGAGTCGCATAACACTTTACTCTCCAACATTTCTCTGATGAAAATAGGGGCGTCCTAAGGAAAAGCAGGATCAAATCAGAAACTGGGATGGCTTCTGTAAATCCAGGACTGTCCCTGGAAAATAGGGACACTTGGAGGGTCTGCTCTCATGTACACTGCCTTGAGCATCGGGGGGGGGGGGGGGCAGGTTTCAAATGTGACATAAATGATAGTATCTAAAGGGTGGTTAAAGGTAAAGGTAAAGGGACCCCTGACCATTAGGTCCAGTCATGACCGACTCTGGGGTTGCAGAGCTCATCTCGCTTTACTGGCCGAGGGAGCTGACGTACAGCTTCCGGGTCATGTGGCCAGCATGACTAAGGCACTTCTGGCGAACCAGAGCAGCGCACGGAAACGCCGTTTACCTTCCCGTTGGAGTGGTACCTATTTATCCACTTGCACTTTGACGTGCTTTCGAACTGCTAGGTGGGCAGGAGCAGGGACCGAGCAATGGGAGCTCACCCCGTCGTGGGGATTCGAACCGCCGACCTTCTTATCGGCAAGTCCTAGGCTCTGTGGTTTAACCCACAGCACCACCTGCGTCCTAAAGGGTGGTTACAATCGGTTAAACTCGATTCCCTCCCTTTTTAAGCAACTTTTCCAGATCGACTTTGAAGTTTGTTTTTATTCAATTTCTATTTAAAGTTTTCCACGTGAAATACATTAAAAGGCAAGCTAATCTAAAAGGAAAAGATAAAAAAATCAAGAATAAGAAAAGGAGGAGGAAGGGTGAAATGAAAAAGCAAACACAAACCTTCTATCACAATTGTATCATGCCCCTTATTCCATACACAAAAGAGTGAACACTTTCAGCTCTCACCTATGAGCTTCCAGCCTCCCACCAACTCCCAAGATTTGGTGGTGTGTGTGTGTGTGTGTGTGTGCGTGCGTGCGTGTGTGTGTGTGTGTGTGTGTGTACCCGTCCTCCACTCTCCCATTTCCCAAATCAAATGTGAAACATATTTTCAAAGCCTTCGCGTCACACGATCATCCCACAGATATTCTTGCCTTGCTCGAAGGAGCCTTGGCCAAACTTTTCTGGCAGTTGGTCTGCACACTGCGACGCGTAGCTTATAAGCAAGCCGCCAGAAAAGAGCAGGGCTGACTGCCATCCGAGAAATAGGCAACATCTTACTCCGTATTTAATCAATATCAAAATGACACATCAACATGCACAATTGTTTGTAACCAGTTGGCAGACAGTCTCATTAGGGCAAGTTCACTCACCCTTGAAGAGCGATGCTGAGATGTGCAGGGAGGAAGGCGAAAGCTGCAGCGAGGGCCAAAGGGAGATAGAAAACAAGGAGGTGACAGAACTTAGCGGTCCTCTTCGTGTGTCCCCCCCCCCCAGCACCTGCCCTGTGGCTCAGTCCATGTGAGTAGCATGTAAGTGAAAACCATGCAGACCAGTCATTTTCCTCTCTTCATCTCAGTCACCATTGCCCACAGGGGAGGGAGAAGAATAACGTTATGGGATAGACCAGGGCTGCAGGCCCAGTGTACCTGAAGGAGCGTCTCCACCCCCCATCGTTCTGCCCAGACACTGAGGTCCAGCGCCGAGGGCCTTCTGGCAGTTCCCTCAGTGCAAGAAGTGAGGATACAGTGGTACCTCGGGTTACATACACTTCAGGTTACATACGCTTCAGGTTACAGACTCCACTAACCCAGAAATAGTGCTTCAGGTTAAGAACTTTGCTTCAGGATGAGAACAGAAATTGTGCTCTGGCGGCACGGTGGCAGCAGGAGGCCCCATTAGCTAAAGTGGTGCTTCAGGTTAAGAACAGTTTCAGGTTAAGTACGGACCTCCGGAACGAATTAAGTACTTAACCTGAGGTACCACTGTATAGGGAACCAGGCAGAGGGCCTTCTTGGTAGTGGCAAGCGCCCTGTGGAACACCCTCCCACCAGATGTTAAGGAAATAAACAACTACCTGATTTTTAGAAGACACCTGCTTAGGGAAGTTTTTAATGTTTGATGTTTTATCATGTTTTTAATATTCTGTTGGGAGCTGCCCATGGTGGCTAGGGAGGCCTGGCCAGATGGGTGGGGTATAAGTAATAAGTTGTTTCGCACTCTGCCTCAGTCCCTGGCACCTAGAGCATGCTCACTGACCGGCTGATGATGGGGAATTCTCCTCGGCTGCCGGTATTGAGGGGCGGTCTTCCCGCCAAAGAGGACAAATTTGAATGGGCCAATCAGAGGCCCTGCTTGGAGGGTGGTGACTCGCTGGCTGGCCGGGGATTGGCTGTTACCCTGCTTGGCAGTGAGGCTTAAAAGGCCAGCTGTGCATGGCTTCCAACATTTGTATGCCCCACCTCCTTCCCAAACCTGGGCAAGTGAGAAGGAGGCTTCTAGGACTCTGTTGGAGCCCTCACATCTCCTTCCCAAAGTCCAGCGCTTCCTAGCTGTCCCTGTGGGGGGGTACCGGTTGCACTTCCCTAAATCCGCCTGTTTCCCAACAGCTTCTATTGAAAACACTTTGAAACACACTTCGCAGGGAGAAGATGGCGTCTGCCACCAGAGAAGGACTTGTGGGTTGATTCGGCATAAACACCAGCGTGTGAGGACATACTGCAAACAATAGACTTACCAGCTGCAAAAAAAAAAAAAAAGGAAAGGCATACAAATTTCACACAGAAGCACATTATTGCTTACTTCAACTCGCCTGTGGAAACAACTCAGAGGCCATGAAAGAAGGAAGGATAACAACAGGAAGATTTAAAGAAGGAACTATTGGAAACTCAAGGCAGTAGAGACATAAGATGATCAGAGCCCCACCGAACTTGAAGCATGGGAAGCCCCAACAAAAATTTATAATTTGGCAGAATATTTGGACTATATGATATGTATTTGTATAATTTGGAATACTTAATGTGATCTGATTGGATTGTTAAAATGGAAAATTTAATAAAAATTATTTTTTTAAAAAAAAAGAATCACACTTCGCAGGCAATCTTTCCCAGGGCCTGTCAGCTGATGCATGCTGGGATACAATGCTTCAATGTGCACACCAATAGGAAGGCCACAGCTTTGTCTGTCCCTTGGCTCATGCAACATATGGTGCCAGGAGCAGGACAGGTGGATGTGGTTTGGGGAAAACGGCCTCACGGGCTAAATTAAGGCCCATGTCCGGCCAGATTTGGCCCACAGGCTTGAGGTTCCCGACCTTAGGACAGATTCATTCATTCAGATAGATTCCCAATGAGGTTAGGTATGCGTCAAGCAGAACCGGCCTCTGTGATTGCTTGTGAAAGGACATAGAGGGCAGCTGCTGGATTTCATATACAGTGGTACCTCGGTCTAGGAACAGCCCGGTTAACGAACTATTCGGTGAACAAACTCTGCAAAACCGGAAGTGGGTGTTCTGGTTAGCAAACTTTGCCCCGGAAGCCGAACAGTGTAAGGGCACCGGTGGCAGGAGGCCTCAGTAGGGAAAGTATGCCTCAGTTTAAGAACAGCTTCAGTTTAAGAACCGACTTCCGGAACGGATTAAGTTCGTAAACCGAGGTACCACTGTACAGTCAAACCTCAGTTCTCGAACGGCTCCGTTTTCGAACATTTCGGCTCCCGAACGCAAAACCCCCCCGGAAGTAACTGCTTCGGTTTTCAAACAATTTTCAGAAGCCGAACATGCTATGCTGCTTCCGTTTTGAGTTTCTCTATTGTACTGAGGCTTCCGCTTTCAGTTTTCAGTTGTTGAACGTTTTGGAGGTTGAACTGTCTTCCGGAACGGGTTACATTTGACAACCGAGGTTTGACTGTACAGAAATGTGATATTTTGTTTATTATTAATTTTCAATTCTGCCCTTCCTCCCGAAGGAGCCCAGGGTGGCAATAGATCACACCCTTTACCTATGCCCCTCATGAACAAATACGCAGAAGGAAGTTTTGTTCAGTTCAATGGTACTTACTCCTAAGACTGCAGCCTTTGAGAATTTCCCCCCTCTGTCCTACCATAGCACATATTGTCGGCTTAGGGCAACCTCTTAATTGTGGCCTCCAAATTTCAGATAAGGACTGCGAGGGTTCATAAAAAAAAGTTCTACATGCCTGCTCTTCGGTTATAAAACTCCTCACTTTGGAAGTCTGCCACACCTCAGCATCTTTCAGAGCTGATATGTTTTTATCTGGGTAGGTCTTTTATGGCTAGGTACATTTTTTTCCAAAAAAAAATGTATTATTTTGTCTCACATAACCTATATTTTGAGTATATTTGGCATGTGTTTCAAATAAGCCTAAGGGTGGAGAATACATTTGAATAAATAAAGACAATTATGAAGAGAAAAGATAACGAAAGCAGGATAGTATCTGAGGGATGATTTATATTTTGGGCAGCAATAGAGAACTGTGAAACTTAACCACTGCTTCTTTCCTGCAAAGAGGAGGTGGCATTGCTTAGACCGCCCGCCCCCCAACTGCTTTTTCTCTGCAATCTCCCCAGCCATGATCCCCAGAGTTAGGATGTGGGATAAATTCAATTCAGGTCACATTTGAAGGCAAACCTACTTAATTCATATCTTCTGAAACAATTTGTGAACAAAAACGCAGCCATCTTTTGATATTTACATTTCTCTGAACTTTTCAGCGCAGTTCTCCAGCCAAGCGATTTGTAGGGAAAATGTTCCTGCTAAAGTGAAAAAAATTCATTATATTATGGGGAAATGGTTTTGCCAAAAATGTGTATATTGCGTAAAAAATGTGTATATTTGGAGAAATCCGCGCTAAAATGCTGGATTTTAATAGGACTTTTAAAAAAATTCACAAACTGACATGAAGAACGGAGTTTAGGAGTGCAAACACAAGTACAAGTCATTTTATTATGGTCAATGACCACTATAAACTTAGGAACGTAAAAATGAAGAATGGAGAGAAGCTGAAGGTACAGATTTGTTCAACCCTATTCAAGAGAGTGATGTGACAGCAGTGAGTTGGCAGCAGGGCCAGATTTAGGTTCGATGAGGCCCTAAGCTACTGGAGGTAATGGGGCCAGCTGTCCTTTGTCAACAACAAATTGTCACTGTTTTTTGTGTTGAATATATGCTATGTGGTAATTTATGAACCTAATAGGCCCATACACAACACAAAACACTGTTGCTGTATGTAGGTTTTATTTTATTTGTTTTTTATCTTATATTTTGGAAATGTACATCTAGGTTTTTCCCCCTTTAATTTTTTTTGGGGGGGGTCCCAAGAGAGTGGGGCCCTAAGCTATAACTTGTTTACAGACAGCTTTCCAGGTCATGTGGCCAGCAGAACTAAACTGCTTCTGGCACAATGGAACACCGTGATGGAAACCAGAGCACACGGAAATGCTGTTTACCTTCCCACCACAGTGATACCTATTTATCTACTTGCACTGGTGTGCTTTCGAACTGCTAGGTTGGCAGGAGCTGGGACAGAGCAACAGGAGCTCACCCCATTGTGGGGATTCAGACCTCCAGCCTTCTGATTGGCAAGCCCAAGAGGCTCAGTGGTTTAGACCACAGCGTCCAACAACCAATCAGATTCATTATTTAGCAACTCAAGCTTCAAGACTTCTGCAATATGATTTTCTCAGGGCCACATAGGAACCATGTGAAAACCAGTAATTGAACTCTCAACACTGCAAATCTTGGCTAAAACGCAAGCCTCTCCCCCCCCCCTTTATTTATTTTTTAGTTTTGCAGTTTTCTAATGTCCCTTATTTTAAAATAAATAAATGCACAAATAAATAAATAATTGGAGTAAGCGAACGCAGAGCATATAGAGCAACTTATCAATTGAGAGGAGATAATATTACAGAGCGGCATAGGCACACATGTTATATATTCCAGGGGCAAAATTCTTTTCTCCGGCACGCATGGAGTAATCACAAACATGCATCAAAACAATTTTTAAAAAAGGTTAAGGAAAAGTCAAGCTCAAATGCGCAAGCCAAGCAAAAAGAGTCGAGACAGACTCATGAAAATATCTGAGGCAGGGGGGATGTTTTGAGTCGGAATTCTCCCAGCCCTCGTCTGAGGAAATTGGTGTCATCACTTGGGTTGCTGACTGAAAGGAAAGCTTGTTTCTTGGCTGTCAAGGTAGCCAAAACCCAGTAACATTTCCTTCTGCCCAAGAAAAAGCTGGAGCTGGCTGAAGCCGAAAGAAAAAGAAGAATGAAACATGATGGGGAAGGGAGCTGGAATCCAAACACAAGCGAAAAATCCCTCCCCACCCTCCTTCCCTTCATTAAACCGCAGAAAAGGCAGAACAAATAGCAACATGTAAAAAATCTGAGCCCTTCAGATAAATTCTACTGGATCGAATCCCTCATTGCAACACATACAAAAGCGTTTAGTCATTGCCTGCGGTGCAAAGATGGACAAAGGCCCAGGGAAAAGATATTTTTTATTTTTCGTACTATTCATTTTGGATTCAGTTTTTAAAGCAGGATTGTGCTGGGCAGCTCATCCTGCGGTTAAGGCAGAGGAAAGAAATATTAGGCAGCCGAATATCTGAGGCCTGCCAGTAATCCAGGGCGAGAAAGATGGTTCTGTTCTTGAGGCTCCAGCTTCCCTTTGGTAGCCGAGAGGCAAATATGAGGCAATGGGCTTTAAATGGCAGAAGCGTAAGTGAAAGCGGAATATATTAACACTGGATGTCTTAAACTTGGTGGTAACAGAATAAATGATGCAAGGAGGGAGCTGCACCCAAGACAGGGAAAGAGGTAGTAAGGGAACAACCAGCTTCTTTAGATGAATTCAAATCTCCAGGGCCTGATGAGCTGCACCCAAGGATTCTAAAGGAGCTTGTGGATGTAATCTCAGAACCTCTGTGTCTACTATCTTTGAGAATTCTTGAGGAACAGGTGAGGTCCTTGCAGAGTGGAGGCAGGCAAATGTTGTCCCCATCTTCAAAAAGAGGGGGGGGGAGAAGACCCAGGTAACTATAGACTGGTGAGCTTCATATTGATACCAGGAAAGGTTCTGCAACAGATAATTAAAAAATGATGCTGCGATGGCAAAGACCCAGCATGGATTTCTCAAAAACAAGTCATGCCAGACAAATCTTCATTTCTTCTTTTGATAAGCTTGGTGGATCGGGAATGCTGGGGACATAGCATATCTTGATTTCAGTAAGGCTTTTGATAAAGTCTCCCATGCTGTTCTTGTGGAGACGCTGGTAAAATGTGAGCTGAATTGAGGTAACTGTTAGGTGGTTGACTGACCAAACCCAAAGAGTGCTCACTAATGGTTCCTCGTCACCCTGGAAAAAAGTAGGGTGCCACAGGGTTCTGTCCTGGGCCCGTTGTTGTTCAGTGTCTTTGTAAACAGCTTCGATGAAGGAATGGAGAATGTGCTCATCAAATTTGCAGATGACACCAAATTTAGGATTGCCGTATTTCTGAAAGTAAAACCAGCGCGGTTTTTTGAATGACTTGCCTAAGATCCAGGACAAAGCGACACCCCACCCCCTCAATTCCACCTTTGAAATCCCAGTAACATCTGGGAAAATCCAGATGTATGGCAGCCCTAACCAAACTGGGAGGGGTAGCTAATGCCTCAGAAGACAAAATCAAGATTCAGTATGCCCTTAACAGATCAGAAAACTAGGCCAAAACTGAATTTCAATTAGGACAAACGTAAGGTTCTACACTTAGCCAGCTAGATCAGGGGTCAGCAAACTTTTTCAGCAGGGGGCCAGTCCACTGTCCCTCAGACCTTGGGGGGCTGGATTATATTTTTTTTGGGGGGGGGGGGGAATGAACGAATTCCTATGCCCCACAAATAACCCAGAGATGCATTTTCAATGAAAGCACACATTCTACTCATGTAAAAACACGCTGATTCCTGGACTGTCCGTG